CCTATATTCTACAAAGCAAGTGATAAAAATCAAAATATGACAATGGACTGAGAGGAAAGGGAAACTGGTAGTATTAAAGTTTTTAATGAACAAATAAGGTTAAGGCAAATTTTTAAGGACCCTAAATAGTAAATATTAGAAGGGATACTGCTGAAAAATTAAATATTTGAATAGTAAATGGTCTTCAGACTCTTGATTGTACAATATATAAAAGAATTTTGAAAACTTTAGGTATCCCTTTGAATATTTTTAACTTGATTTCTAAAAATTTTTGTCAAAAATAAGTTGTTTTGTAAATAAAACATTAAATATGTTACACGATGAAATAAGATGAAGAGTGACTATAATTAGAATAAGTATTTCATGACGTAAGTTTATTTCAATGAAAGTTCTAACCACTTTATTGTATAGTTTGCATCAAGTTTTTTGATTATATATTGAAACTTGATGCTCTGGAAAAATATGCCAGCTTCATTTGAAAGAGCTAGTTCCTATCCTGTACTGCTTCAGTTATTCTGAATTTAGAACATTGCCACTCTGGCCAGTCCTCTCATAATAAAACATACATTACTCTGCATATTTTCAGTGATTAAAAAAAATACACCCAGCAGACAAAGAGGTAGTAGGCAAACCAAGAGCCAAGGTGAATGTGTTAATCATTAGCAGGTTATCACCAAGCCAATATTTGGAAGAACCCCTTTGTTGACAACCAGGAAGTGTTTATACTTCAGGCATTGTCCCAAAATAAAGCGTGATGCCGTTCTTTTCTAAAGTGGAAGGAGGGATATTGTGGACATAGGCACATTCTCAGGCAATTCTAGAAAATAAGCTGAAATTGAGAAAGACTTTGGAAAGTGTTTGCCTGCCTCCACCACCAAGAAGTCAATGGAGAAAGCAAAGTAAAAGGTCCAAAAATGAAAGTCGGCAGAAACTAGAAAGATGGGCAACAAGGTTCTACCATACTGAGAAATAGATGAGAGATTCTTAACAAAGAAAACACTACAAATTGAGGACAATCACTAAATAAAACAAAATTGAAGGAAACTCTAAGATCACTAACTGAAAAGCAAGGGAAAATGATTAACACCTTGGGTCATCTTGGTGAAAGAATTCCGCCGTAAAGAGAATCCTATAGCACCTAGTCTAAACGTACCTCTCCTATAAAAAATACTGGCCAACTATTTGGACAGTATCCTCTTACTGGACAGCAGAAGAGACTAGCAGGAAGTCAATATTGTTTTGAATAAGAAAAATTACAAAACAAAATTTCTGTTCCCAGATAAGTTAATATTACAATGTAGTAAGGCTCCACAGCGATCATATAGAGTACTAAGAAAGAAATTCTTAGCTATTCTGGTACTCAGAGGCTCATCCAAGTACTGTTACAAAAAATACTCCATTGAAATGTTTTGAGAAGAGAAAGGGTAAAGAATGGTCACGAAAAAACAAAAGAAAACAAACAAATCATTTCATTTCATTGTCCAGGGCTATGCTAAATGAGCAAGAAGTGTCTAGCACTCAAAATTAAGCAGGCAGTCACTCTCATGTGCCAGTTCTGTTCTTGCATGAGCCTGAGAAAGGATGCCTCCTTAAATATTTTTTGGGTACCTCACTTGCCTCACCTTAGTTTCAGCCTTCAAATTATGTTCAAATAATAGTGACAAGTATAATAACCAATAAAATGTAAATGCTATAATTCTTGTGTGGAAACTACTTAATGCAAAACTAATACATTAACTGCAAAAGGTCAGAGCAAAATTTCCAGAGAATAGTACTCAAACACTATTCAGTGAGGTTTAGGATGTGAGTGATAGGTGATAGGATAAGTGAGGTGATAGGATGCCTCAGTGTGTCTGTTTCCTTATTGTATATAAGGAGAGAGATATGGCTGGGCATGGAGGCTCATGTCTGTAATCTAGTATTTTGGGAGGCCAAGACAGGAGGATCCCTTGAAGCCAGGAGTTTGAGACCAGCGTGAGCAACATAGCAAGATGCCTGTATCTACAACAACAACAACAAAGCTGAGAGTCAACAGCTGCTTTTTTACTATCTATGTTATTAACTTGAGAAATAAAGCATTAAAAGAAGAATGAATTTTGTAACACAACACAGCAAAATGTAATCTGCCCACAAAAGTGGACTTAGAGGATAAATTTTCCTCTAAGCTTTAACCTGTTTCATAATTAAATAAAAATGAATGGATATAAATAAACTAAATATCTAAAACAAAATTTATATGAAGGAAAGCAAAGGGAAATAGAACATAAGCTTGAAAAAAGATAAGCTAATAGATTATTAAATAAAAAGACAAACAGGGCAGGGAGCAGTGGTTCATGCCTGTAATCCCAGCACTTTGGGAGGCCAAGGTGGGTGGATCACCTGAGGTTGGGAGTTCGAGACCAGCCTGGCTGAAATGATGAAACCTCATCTCTACTAAAAATAAAAAACTTGGCCAGGCATGGTGGCACACCCCTGAAATCCCAGCTACTCAGGAGTCTGAGGCAGGAGAATCGCTTGAATGCAGGAGGTGGAGGTTACAGTGAACCGAGATCACGCTACTGCACTCCAGCCTGAGCTACAGAGCAAGAATCCATCTCAAAAATAAATAAATAAAGACACACACACACACACACACACACACACACACACACACACACACACACATGCATTGTGTCAGAAGTACAAAGAAGCTAAAACTTCAGATATAGATAAAATGAATATGTTATAGAAAAGTCTGACAAAATAGTTGAATATTTTGCAAATACACGTTAAATAGTGTGTAAAATGGATGATCATCGAAGATAATATAAATGGTCAAAACTGATCAAAGAAAACATAAAACTCTTTTAAAAACCTATAACTGAAGGAAATTGAGAAAGTTATCGAAGAAGTCTCCTCAAAATGGCTTTCAGCCTGCATGATTTTTACAAACCAATGTTTTCAAGCTTTCAAATAACAATAGCAATTATAAAAATTCCATTCTAGTCAATCTTTTCAGGGTAATGGGGAATAAAGAAAGTTTCCCTTTCTTGTTTTTGAAATCAATATGAGCCCCATACCCTGACATAAAAAAAATAACACAAAACACATGCATGCATACAGAGCCAATCTCATATATCAGTACATCAGCCAAAGTCCTAAACTAGTAGTGGATCAAATTATGCTGTACATCAAAAGAATATTCAATTAAAAGCTCAATATTAAGAAATACATTTATATAATTCATATTTAACAGTTAAAGAAAAAAAGTAGATCATCTTATCAGATAGATGACAATAAGCTATTTGAGAAAAGTGAATTAATTTTCGTAACCATTAATGTTAGAAACAATCCTTTAGGGATGTGGAGGGCAGATGAGCCCGAAATGTTTCATACAGTGTACAATTGCATCTATTCTGAAGCCATTAAGAATGTGAATGGTAACTCTTCCTCAAACTATCAAATGGGGAGAGATACCCTGAAAGTATGACACAGGGAGGTTATCTGCCAGGAATCAATCAGAGAAGCTGCTGGAAAAACCCAGGCATGCTAAGCCATTGTTGTTCTTACCGCCCAGGGCAACTGATGCAATTGGAAGCAAATGATGCTTTTACATTAATGATTTCTATGAAGTCTGAGCTCATTTATTTTGCTGTTTGAGAACTTCCAGTTTGATCCAAAAGCTGACAGCATCGATTGCCTCACTGTCTTCCTTCCAGCTCTGATGCTGGAAGGTCTAACGAAAGAAGAGGAGGAAGATGACCAAGGAGAACATGAAAGCAGAGGACCAAGATCCCATCCCAACTGCTCCATTGGTCAAAACTAAGTCAAACATAGGAGAAGCTCTCAAATGGATGATACTTTGATTTTGCTTTTTGTTTTATTTTCTACATTAATAAAAGCATACAAATCATAAATGTACAATATTCACAAAGTAAACACACATCCAAGTCAAGAAAGAAAATATTTCTTGTACCTCAGCCACTCTTAAGTACCATCCATCCAACCATGACTCCCATCTCTGCCCAAGGGGAATCACTTACTGATTTTTAATGGGATAGATTGGTTGTAGCTGTTTTTAAAAACTATTTTATAAACCTTTAAAATAATGTGCTTTTTGTCTTCCTTCACTCAATATTGTGTTTATAAGACCCATTCATCTATCACCTATTGGGGTCTGTTAATTCTTATTGCTCTGTAAATAGACCATGCTTTATTTATCCATTCTTCTATTAACAGACAACTTCCTGTTCAAGCTATTACAGATAGTGCTCCTATGAACATTGTCGTACATGTTTTATGGCTGTATATGAGCATTTCTAAATAAAATGTCTGAGTCATTGTAATTGTACATTTAACTTTAAGAGATATTGCTGAGCAGCTTTCCAAAGTTCACATTTGTAGAGTATGAAAGTTCCAGTTGCTTCGCACCCTTGGCAACATTTTCTGTTTTCCATCCTCTTTCATTTTATCCATTATGTTAAGTTTATAGTGGTATTTCATTGTAGATTTTTCATTTCTGTAATGACTAAAGAAGTTAACATCTTTTTATATGTTAAGGGGACACTTACATTTTCTCTTTTATGAAGTCCCTGTTCAAGTCATTGACCCATTTTTTAGTTGGGTTCTCTGCCCTCTACCCTTTTGTGGTCTTTTTTTCTCTTTTTTCTGTACATAATTTGACGACCTATTATACTATGTCTTTCTTTTTTTTTTTTTTTTTTTTTTTTTGAGACGGAGTTTCACTCATGTTACCCAGGCTGGAGTGCAATGGCGCGATCTCGGCTCACCGCAACCTCCGCCTCCTGGGTTCAGGCAATTCTCCTGCCTCAGCCTCCTGAGTAGCTGGGATTACAGGCACGCGCCACCATGCCCAGCTAATTTTTTGTATTTTTAGTAGAGACGGGGTTTCACCATGTTGACCAGGATGGTCTCAATCTCTTGACCTTGTGATCCACCCGCCTCGGCCTCCCAAAGTGCTGGGATTACAGGCTTGAGCCACCGCGCCCGGCCTCCTATGTCTTTCTTTATTGTTCTTCTACTTTTGGTTTTCTGCAAACCCACCTTCCTCTCTATGTTGTCAATACCATGAAGCCAAAATCAATGTGCTCATCTTAGTATCACTCTCAGGGCATGACACTCTGTTTTTCTGAAAACACCTACTCAAAAATACCTGTTGATTTGCATTAGAAGATTCTCTTCATCTGCTGAATTAGCCCAGGGTTTTTGTCCTAGAGGTTTTTAAATAGGATTTAAAATATGGTGGGAACTTCTTCTCTGGACATTTTGTGGCAAAACCAGAATCAGCTCTGTGTGTGTAGACAACCTAAAGTATATGTTTTAAGCGTTAGAAGCCAAATGAAAACCTGTTAGAGTTGATGTTGCCTCTCTGAGTATCTTGGGAAAGTAAGGAAAACATGAAGAAGTTCAAATGATCTTTTTCTTCCTTGAGAAGGAGCTTCTCTTGCATGTGATAGATTTCTATACCTTTTCTCATCTTTTTATATCTTCAGTATTTTTCTCCCCCATATAAGTTGTCATTTTACTTGAAAGTGCCTCTGTCATTTCCCTCCAATTTTCTTTATATGTTCTAAACTATACTGTTATCCTTTCTGGAAATGTCTACATTGCCTTCCTTCACGTTCATTCTTCTCACAATACAAGCTTTTCAATTCTGTTTTCTCTGTCTTTGATTTCTAAGTTAACCTCATTTATTTAACCTTTTCTTGGTCATTTTCTGGTCCTTTATTTTTTGCAATTGGTCTAGTATAAATATCTGTTTAACCTGATGGAAATAATTCTAATCTAAATAATTATAAAATTGTCTATTTTATTTTAGCATGTAAGTTTTCATAGAATTTAACCACATAAATAAATAATCCATGTTTTACAGTGTATAAAAAAATAATAAAAATGTTAATTCTGGGGATAATAGCTTTACAATTCCGATCGGTACTGAGATCTGCAACATGTGGCTACAATTCCCATCAGATTTCTCCGTATCCAATAACCACCTCCCCCCCACCATGAAGATATTTATCAGTGATCATTTTCACGCAAAGTTTTATTCATTTAGTACTTTCCAATGAGGAAAATCCAAAGGCCACATGAATTGACTTTTCAAGTTTGTCCAGCTATTGTCAATCCTGGGTGCATGTTAGAAACCTCTGAAGAGTGTCTAAAAATTAGTGGTATCTGGATTCTACCCCAGACCAATTCATTCAGAATCTCTAAAGTGGGTCCCAGGCATCAGAGTCTTATAAAGGCTCCCCAAGGAAGACTAACACACAGCCATAGTTGACAACTGCTGAGTCTGTGGTCAAGAATATGAAGATAAAAATATTTAAAAAGTTCATTCTCAATACTATATTTAAATTTGAAATAACTTTATGTCCTCAGAGGTGGGTGAGGTCCTCTCTTTGGCCCAGTCCTGAATTTCTGTTTGTCCCAACGTGAGATAAAAGACCAGGCCAAACATGTTGACTGCAGCAGACAGGAAAAAGACATTCCTCCAACCAGACTCAAAATCCTAGATGTAAAAAACACAGAATAATGATCAATCTCACAAGTTTCTTCTGCACTAGTTCTAGAAGTCCTCCAAGTTGTATATTGCAATGTTGATCACAAGAAATATAGAGAACAACGTGCAGTAGCTACTTAAGAAAGTTTATGAAACTATGGGAAACAAAATGACCAAAAGGCACGTTGGGCTCTGAGTTGGAATGGTTATTTCGTTAAACTAAAATAAGCTATACTAACATTTTTCTGAAAATTTAGATTTCAACATATAATACTACTCATTTAAAATTATGCCTAAAATGGCATCATGTTTGTGTCTTCTCTGTTTTGTCTGAGTTTTGGCTGTTGATATCTGTCACTACAACCCATCTCAATTCAACATGAGTTCTATTTGGTCCCTGTGTGACCCTCCTCAGAAAGCCCTAGTGAGTCATTTCCAACATCATAGTCACAGTGGATTCCTAGCAGTTTAGTCAAATATTAACCTGGCAACTTGATCACATAGAAATGTATTAAAAACCAAGCTTCTCTCTGTAAGTTGGTTCTTGTCAGCCCTTCCATCCCCACCTGTGTCTGTCTTTTCATCTTCCTCACGAGCCTGCATTTCCAAACACTGAGCAAGCCTCCTTGCAATCTCTCCCAGCCAATCTCTTTTCAGCCATTTAACTTATTTTTAAACTGGTCTCAGAATACTTTATGTTTTCCTTTTGTGATTTTTTAAAAATTGGAATTAGTCTGAACATTTTCTTCATGATCTTCGTCTTCTGCCCCTCTGTCTTCATCTCTTGCTATTCCTTGACATGCATCATTCATTCTGGTCATAACTAAGAACAGCTTCATGCTCATGTACCTCTACGAAGTCATACATGCTGTCTTCTACACTGGAACAGCTCATTTTAATCAATCTAACATCTATTCATTTTGAGAAAATTAGCTTATACTTTTCTTCCCCTGGGAAATATGACCTACCAATGTCCAATTTAGAGGCTCATGTAAATGGAATAATTGTGTTGCCATCCAGACCTTGAGAGCACAGTGCGTATCTCCAATACCTAGAACAATACATGCCACTTGAAGATGCTCAATAAACTGGTCCAAACCTGACTGATGAGGAATCCAGTGGCAGTGGAAGAGACAATTCCTGCAATGAGCCCAAATCCCCTTGAGATTCCCATGAGGAAACTTGCATATCTGTGGGAAGATGATTTTTATAAATGATTTTATATAGAAAGCCACCTACAGCTTCTGCAGCAACTCAACTTTAACGCAGTTCAGCTCTAATGGCAAAGCCATTTTGCTTAATGCAGTTTATCATTCACCTAAAGACATTCAGGGCAATATCTGTTTGCCAACCCTGAAATGATCAATCTGGAGTCAATAATTAGGGAGCAATGCAGTCTCTGGGAACCAAATTTCTTCACCCTGGCTGCTCAGTGTAGAAGGCAGTTTGTGCAATGGACAGGACACAGACTCCAAAGCCAAACACCCTGGGTCCAAACCCTGGCTCTGCCTTTATATAACCATAACCATCATCACACCTCCCTGTGCCTCAACCTTCTCCCTTATAAAATGGGAATAATAATAGGATCTATGTAATGTAACTGTGAGGATTAGATGTGTTGTTATATGGCAAGTCTTTGGCACAGGAGCTGATTTATGGTGACTGTATATATATGTGGTAGCTAAGATGATTAACACCATGGAAACTTTTCCAAATCACATGTGTGTGGGCCTTTTCCCAGCATACACAGTTCAATCTCTGTTAGGGAAGCTTTTTACAGAAATGATTACTGGGCAAGATTGGAAATTGTTGTCCTAAAAATGCCACATTTGTTGTTCTAAAAATGGCCACAGACAGACTTTTGTAGTTATTTGTCATTCTGCCATTAGTGCATGTCAGTAATATCAAAGAGTTTCATGGTGACAACTGAGGTCTAATACCTCTGGAGGGGTCTGAAGGAGGGGAAAAACAGGTAGAGCTCTTACCTTGGAGCGATATCTAAGGTGTTGATGATAAACCCTGAGTCGCATAGGTTACTGGTCCCAGGAATAAGTATCAGCAAAATAATGGTTATCACATAACTGGAGGCCACAAAGGGCAGGGCCACAGCACAAACTGATGGAAGGAGGAGCCCTGGGCAATGAGGATATGTTGTTAGGGAAACCTCTGAGACCATGTGCCAAAAAAGGATTGGTTAAATGAGCCCACACGCCTATCCTTACCTAGAGATGAAAAGAGCTTTCGCACGGTGATCAACCTGAGAAGATTCCTGGACAAAAGGAAATCTGCCAACTGACCTCCTAGAATTGTACAGCTTGCAGCAGCAATAAAAGGCAGGGAGGACAGAACTCCACTCTGAAGAAAGGAAAGTTATACAGGGTAGTTATGGAGACGTTAGCACCAAAATTTATTGGTCATACAGACCAGCCATTAACCTACCCCCATGGTATTCTGGGTTGTTTGGGGAGAAACTGGCATCCTTTTTCACACTATAAGGACACTGTTTCAGATAAGAGGGCCAGCAGCTGCATCACTCTGGGCTCCGGAGAAAAGCAATATTAATTTCTAAAAGAAGCTTTGGAATCAGCTGGTGTGGCAGTACAGCATAGTGGTTAAGAATACAGATGCTGCAGCAGCTCTACCCCATAGTATTGTCAACCCTGGGCAAGTTTTCTCACCTCAAAATGTGCCGTTTCCACATCTGTGAAAAGGGAATCATAACAATGCCTCTCTCAAGGTCATTGTGAAGGTTAAATTAACGGTTATATGTAAAACCGGAATGTAATAGGTAACACAGAACTGTTTCTCCTTATTACCATTATCATTTTCATAGAAGTATAGGAAGTAAACTCACATCTCTGATGTTAACGTGGAGCAGAGTACTGATGTACGTTGGTAGGTATGTTAGGATGATGGTGCATAACCAGAAATGGCTGAAAAAACCCATGAAAATGGCCCAAAGTGGTAGGCATGTGACCATTGCCTTTATGGGGACAGCTCGTCTAGGAGAACTGGGCTGAAAAGAAATATCTAATCAACATGAATATTAGAACAGCCTAGAGGGTGTCTCTCGGAGGAGATCCACATTCTGCCCTAGAGATCTCTGCATGGGCCACAGGTTCAAGGCATGCACTGTACCTGCTGAGGCAGTGAGGACATGATGTGCTCCTTTTCCCTAACACTTATGCACGGGTGCTGCATGGGGTCATCATAAATCACTGTGAACCATAGGAGACAGCATATACAGCCAGTGCTACCTGGGAAGAAGGGATAAAATTAGTTTTTAGGTAGATTTGTTTACTGGGGGAAGAGAGTGGCATGCCTCTCCCTTCTACACACTAATCAATTAATGCTTATTCTACCATAGGAGCTGAATGTTCCCATTCTTTCTTTCAATCCTGCAAACCTGTTAAAGCTTTTTAGATACTACCTCTCAAAGACAAAGTCACCATTTGTCAATGTCAGAGCTTTTTGGAGATAACATGAATATGGCATTGCATAGCTGCTTAATCACTTTAAAGCCTCCAATGATTATAATGTTATGTATTTTAAGCAGCAACTTTTTTTTTTTTTCCCGAAATGGAGTTTCACACTTATTGCCCAGGCTGGAGTGCAATGGCACCATCTCAGCTCACTGCAACCTCCGCCTCCCGGGTTCAAGCAATTCTCCTGCCTCAGCCTCCCGGGTAACCGAGATTACAGGCATGTGCCAGCATGCCCGGCTAATTTTATATTTTTAGTAGAGACAGGGTTTCTCCATGTTTGTCAGGCTGGTCTCGAACTCCTGACCTCAGGTGATCTGCCCGCCTCAACCTCCCAAAATCCCATGGCTGGGATTATAGGTATGAGGCACTGCGCCTGGCCAAAGCAGCAACTTCTTAATGCACACATAGTTGTCTTGTTTTAGAAGACCTGAATAGTCAGGACTGCAGTCATACATACATGAAACAACCTTCCATATAATCATGTGACAGGGAAAAGTGTCCAATGCACTTACAGAGACAGTGTTATTTGTATTCAAGCCATACATCCATTATGGATTCCCAAAACAAATATTTCTATAAAATACCTGGTTAACATGTATAAACCAAAATAATTAGCATCATTAAAGAGAAAGCCATTCCAGCCAGGACTATATTTAATGACACCATTTGGCTCTAACAACGAAGTCAACTATAGAATATTGTCTCATTGCTGGAATTTGTTATTTAAAGAATATTCTATGTTAAAAGGTTCTGAGGACTAATTTTCTTTAAATTCCCCTAATTAGTAGATTCATTGATTCTTTTACTTTAAAGCTAAAAATCAGGCATTGTGATGACACCCAAGTGATGAAAACATTATAGAATGGATTTCTTGCATCAAGCATTTCACAGTCCAGTAGAAAGAAAAGGAGAAATAAATAATTTCACACCAACATAACCTAGAGAGGAAATACCAGTAAAGATTATACAGGAGAGAATGCCTGAATCCAATAGAGTAAGCCCTGGAAGGGCCCATGGGGACATTTAAATTGAGCTTTGCAAGATTCACTTGGTAAAGAACAGGTTAAAGGCATCTTGGGCAGAAATAATAACTATAATGAAATATGAAGACACACTGAAGAGGTACTTCACTATCTTTGGCATTTTAACTGCATATAGTGACTAGACCAGGCACTGCAGATGTAGTGGTAGAGATTCTGCAGAAGATGCTCGATATGGAAGGACAAGACTGCATCACAAGTCAGTGCCATGTGAATAGTCAACTCCTCCACCCTGTGCATGTGGCTTTCCAGAACTACCAGAAAGGTGTTAACCAAGTTGTGTGATTACATTAAAAATGATAGCAACTGTTGACATTTTTTTATCATCTTCCATTTGATAAAGGACATTTTCTTTCCTATAGGAAGAATGTGGGTGATGTAGGTGCCAAAATGGATGCTCAGGAAACGGACGTGTTAGGATTTAAGAGACAGTGACTCACCAAAGATGTAGAAGATAAAAGGCCAGCCCAAGACCTGTGAGATTAGTCCCCCCACACAGAGGATGATGAAGGATCCAAATGCTGACCCTAAAGGGAAGACAGAGAAAAATACTTATAAAAATAGCAAAGGCTGAGACTTCATGGCCTCCCTAAACATTGTCCCAACAGTGAGGTGGCAGACTTAGAATTATTGGGCAATGAGAATATTTATTTTTCTTCCCACAGATTTTCCCCAATAAAGTAATATTATATAATTACAATTAATTAATAGTAACATGCCCCCTGATTCTTCAATGGCTCCTCAACACCAATGTGACCAAATCTAAATCCCTCAGTTTGACACAGCAACTCTCTGCTATCAGAGCCCATTAATACTTTTTTGTGATTATAGTTGCATTCTTGCATGATCTAATATGAGGCTGGGGCAGGAAATTAAAGACTTATAAAAATCCATAAGATATATTCCCTGCCCTCAAGGAGCTTCTGGTCCAATTGGAGAGAAAAATGTTAATAAAATTGATTGCCACTAGTGAAATGCCATTTAGGCTTTGGAGTCTACATTAAAACACAAGAAATGTAATTGACAGAGACCCATAGTAAGAAATGCATTTTACAGAGTAAAATAACACACACACCAATATACATAAACACTTGTACATACAACCACATGCATATGCCTTAAACAATGGTTTCATGAATCAATATTTAACTTTACCATGTGCAATGCACTCCAACAATTTCTATACTATTCTATTCATTTTTTAAATTAATGATTTTAACCTGCTCAGTGGGTTTCATGACTCACTAATGGGTCCCAACCTGCAGTTTGAAAAAAAATACGTAAAATATAAATGTGATAATAAAACTACAATATGCGTGGAAGCATATCTGAGGATAAATTGATAATAATTATAAGATTTAGGAAGTTTTTACATGATCAAAGCAATAGGATAAGTGGAATTTTGGCACAAGGAACAGGGTCAAAGAATTTTCCAGGCATATCAACCAATGGGAGCAGAGCCAGAGGGAAGTGCAGTGCAGATCTATGTGGGGAGCCGCCAGTGTCTGGGGCCACTAGGGCCATGGTTGCACAGGGGAGTCGAGTGGATCAATGTTGAGGCCAGATGGCTGAGCACTTTTGTGCCCATTCACTAAAGAGTGGGTCTTTACTCTGTAAACATGAAGGAACACATGGAAGATTCTCAAGCAGGTGAGTAAAAATGCCCCATCTTTATTTTAGAAAGATAACTTGGTTTTGGTGAGAAGAAGTTTGAAAGAAACCAAGCTGGAAGAGAGAGATCAGCAGATAGTATTTGCAAATAGAGGAGGTGGTGACAACTATGATGGAAGGAGGCAAGTAAGTAGAAGGGTTGTTTAAGGTAAAAGTCTGCAGGATGCCACTGTGTAGTCGACCTAGGAACGAGAAGCTAGATGGAATCTTAGTTCTGCTCTTCTGAGTATATGCTCGCAGCACTACAGGCTGAGGAGAACAGCAATGATAAAGCTGTAGAGGCCTTAGGAGGATCACGTACCGTCGAGAGGCAGTCTAGCATAGTGATTGAGAGTGTCTGCTCTGGGGCTAAAATCTGCATGGGCTTAAATCTCAGACCTACCACCTGCTGGCGATTTGTATTTGGACAATTTACTTAATCTCTGCCTTCCTTAACTCCCCTTTCTGTAAAATAAGAGTTTAAAATGATACGCTGGGCATGGTGGCTCACGTCGGTAATCCCAGAACTTTGGCAGGCTGAAACGGGTGGATCACCAGAGGTCAGGAGTTCAAGACCAGCCTGGCCAACATGGTGAAACCTCGTCTCTACTACAAGTTCAAAAATTAGCTGGGTGTGATGGCGGGTGCCTGTAATCCCAGCTACTCAGGAGGATGAGGTAGGAGAATAGCTCGAATCTGGGAAGCGAAAGTTGCAGTGAGCTGAGATGGTGCCACTGCACTCCAGCCTGGGCTACAACAGCAAGACTCCGTCTCAAAGAAAAAAAAAAAATTCTACTTACATGAGAGTGTTATTGGGAGAATTAGCTCCCAATAGAATAGTAAAGAGGTTAGAATAATGCAGACACTTCAAACTATTCCAGCCTGATTTCTCTCCTTACCACTTTGAGCTGTGGTAGCCTTAATACTCACTTCAACATTGTTGCTAAGATGGTGTATGTATCGTTTACTTGATCTTTTTCCATTTATGTAATTCTGAATGGTTTAAACTTTCTCCTACAAGGCTTTTCTGACTACTAAGGCTTTTCTGAGCTGAAACCTAGCTCACAATGGTTTTTTCTACTTCTAAGCCTCAATGTCTTTACTGTACAGATGCACCTTTCATATTTGTTATGCAACTGTCTCCTATTGTTGAATTTTTCAGTACTGTAGTGCTTTTTCTCCCTCTCCCCCAAACCATTTGGTTCATAGAAGATAAGACACAGTAGGATGGAACAGATTACAAAGCTGTGACCCACATGTGCACACTTACCTGATCCCGCAATGGTAGTGAGTTTGCTTCGTTCAAGTGGAGGAGCCCACTTTGCCCAAATTGTAAACTGACCTGTCCATGCCATTCCCTGAAATGAAAATCATTAAGACCTCTGATATTTTGTAGAATTCAGGAATCTGGATCCCACCCAGAAGGAGAAAGTATCTGGATACCTGGGCCATGCCCTGGACTGTCCGAACCACAATGACCAAAATCACTCCAAAGTCAGCAGCCAATGGTGTGAAGAGGGTGAGAAGGGAAGAGATCAGCAAACCAGCACCAAGCATTTGTTTTGCTCCAAATATCCCTGCTAAATATCCACTTGGGATCAGAGTCAGTATTATCCCATAGTTGATGGAGCTAAAGATGATACCCTGAGTTTCTGGGCTCCATTGATACACAGTGGCCTGGGGATAAAAATAGGAAAACTTTTTGTCAAGAAGTCCTATTATGAAAATCCGCTTAACAGTCAGAGTAGCTTGAGGTTGGTGAGACCCTGCTATAAAATATCGATTTTAGTTTTTCTCTATATTCTACCTACCTTTCCAAACAATTGTAGCAATTATACCCCTAATTTGTCTTAGAAAAACAGAACAAATGAAGAAAAGAGGTAAAGAAAATGATCATATAGATGATTAATAGAAGTAAATGGAAGAAAACATTGAGAGATATTTCATCTGTGAGAGTGCTTCCTCCAACTGTTTTGCTTGTAGTAAACGTTGGGTAACAAGTTGACTCTCATATCAAAGAATTTTAAAAACACACACAAAACTTTACTGAACTCTTACCAAAATTAGTCCCTAATTAAAAATAAAAATCAAGTTTGGGAATTATGGTCTCCCTTGGCTGAACTGACTTCCTGAAACACATAAGTGAATAAGATCACATTCTTCTGATATAACTGAATAAATAATTGAATTATTTAAAAATAACTACCTTAAATGCCTAAATGATTATATAAATTATACCTAAATATTTACCTAAAAATAAATACATTTTAGGCATCATGCAATAACCCACCTAATTATCTGGCATCATGCTCTAGAGAGCCAAAGAATATAAAATATGAAATATTTTACCCACTTAAACAAACTATAAATAATACAAGGTATGTGATTCATCTGAGAATTAAGATTTCTAGGATTTGAGGGTAAATATAAATAAAACAGGAACTTTGAGAGGAGAAAACAATAATTTGGGAAGGTCCCACAAAGGAAGCAATACTTCAGCTATCCCTTGAAAAATGACTATGATTTGCAGAAAGGCAAAAAGGAAAATTTTATCTCATCGGAATAAATAGCAAAAGTGAACTTGAAACATTTGGGAGAAACTAACAGGGTCTCTGGCTTGCTCAGAGCAAAACTTCCCCTGAGTCATTGATAGCAGGTGTGAGTGTGCTGAGAAATAGGACCAAGTTCTGGAGGAACACAGCAAGTTCAGCGAACACTGCATGTTTGGCAACTTGAAGGTGTGTCCCGAGTAGTGAATCTGCTCAGTGTGAATGTGTAGATGGGACAATGGAGGAAAGACTGAAGGCAATACATTTATGTACTCATGGTAAATAAGCTGGGTCCAATGTAATAAAATCATTAATCATGAATTATAGGGATGACATTGGAAATGTACAGTAAAAGATAATTTAAAGGATAATTTTTTTTTTTTTTTTTTTTTTTTTTGAGATGGAGTTTCGCTCTTGTTACCCAGGCTGGAGTGCAATGGCGCAATCTCGGCTCACCGCAACCTCCGCCTCCTGGGTTCAGGCAATTCTCCTGCCTCAGCCTCCTGAGTAGCTGGGATTACAGGCACGCGCCACCATGCCCAGCTAATTTTTTGTAGTTTTTAGTAGAGACGGGGTTTCACCATGTTGACCAGGATGGTCTCGATCTCTTGACCTCGTGATCCACCCGCCTCGGCCTCCCAAAGTGCTGGGATTACAGGCGTGAGCCACCGCGCCCGGCCTTAAAGGATAATTTTTTAAATTGGGTATAATCATGGTTCTCATATAAATGTAAAATAAGCATATGACAAAGATTTTATTTAACTCATTGACTAATGGAAGGATTAAGTAAGATGTTATAACTGGTTCAAAGGAAAATTCAAAGAATCGCACATAACACAAGCAGGTAGCAATGCTGAAATAGATTTTAAATATACAGCAGGACCTGGCATGGTGGCTCATGCCTGTTATCCCAATACTTTGAGAGGCTGAGGTGGGCAGATCACCTGAGGTCAGGAGTTCGAGACCAGCCTGGTGAAACCCTGTCTCTACTAAAAGTACAAAAATTAGCCAGCTGTGGTGGCCTGCACCTGTAGTCCCAGCTACTCCAGAGGCTGAGATAGGAAAATTGCTTGAACCCAGGAGGCAGAGGCTGCAATGAGCCAAGATCACGCCAGTGTACTCTTGCCTGAATGACAAAGCAAGACCGTCTCAAAAAATAAATAAACAAACAGCAAAGTTGGCTGATTCAGCTGGACAGTGAGTAGCAAAAAGTCTTAACTGATTTTTCTCTTGGCAAAATTTATTAGCAAAGCTATGGACAAGAATCATTTGCATTTCTGTTTGTTATATAGAATTTACAGGGCTATAAAATTGCCCAAAAACAATAAAACAGGCAGAGACCTGAATAGAATTGAGTAACCTATAAGAATGTGCCTAGGTAATACCTAGCTTTTCATCGAAGATATCACATAATCTATTCCATTTTCAAATTTTTCACATTTTTCCCCTACAGGTCCCCCATCTTATAATACTCTCAATGAAATCTTATTTTTATTATAGAGGTAGCAATGTCTCAGAGAAAAATAATTCCAGTCAGTTTTAGTTTGTCATTGGAAATTTATACTTTTATACATCACAGAATCAAGATCTATGCCTTCCTTTCAAACTGAGTTTTTCCTCTTAACAAAGAGCCCTGTTCTCCAACACGCTTACCTTTGTATCAAATTCCTTGATGGATATGCTGGAGTTATTGAAGGCGTCTGCAAAAGGCCCCTCAGTGGAGGCATTAGATAGACTATGCTGCTGAGTGGAGTTCACCATGGCAATGATTGCAATGCTCAGACTCACACGCTGGGTTATCATGGTGAAGTTTGAGAAGTGCATGATAAGAGCCAGCCCATAGCGTAATGAACAGAAATCTGGACCTAGAGAACAACACAGAAGTATGCTATGAGCATCCTGACTGAAGCCCCTTCTTTTCATTTCTCCCACAGCTAGATCTGATAGAATTTTGGATGACATCATGAAGTCTCATTGTCTTATTTCACCAAAATAGCCAGTGCTGCAAACCCACTGTCAAATTATTTGGTTGGCTTCAAGACAGTGAATATGGGACATTATAATCAAGTAAAGCAAATACGGTCATCTTTCAGGTGGGTAGGAAGCAGGTGATGAGAACACCTAAATGTAACGCATTTATGTCATATTGCTCCAAAATGAAGTGAATGGGGATGACAGTGGCAGAGCCAATCACAAAACCCTCTTAGCATCAGTAAAATTATCTGGGCTGTAGGTCAGTAGTCCCATCTGTTATGCACATTTGTTTATCACAAAGCTTGAGAGTTTATACACAACGAGCTGCCTTTGAATTAAAATATTGCACATACAGGGATTATTTTTTAATATATATGAGAGATAGTACTGTAAGTGAGCACTTCCATTAATTCCTTAGTGTAATGTCCGCTTGGAAATGTTTTTGCTATGTGTCACTAAGCCCTGCCTTCACATATATTCAATTAAAAAAAAAATTAGGTAGGGTGCAGTGGCTCACGCCTGTAGTCCCAGCACTTTGGGAGGCTAAGGCCGGTGGATCACTTGAGGTCAGGGGTTCGAGGCTGGCCTGGCCAAAGTGGTGAAACCCCTTCTCTACTAAAAGTACACAAATTAGCCAGGAATGGTGGTATACACCTGTAATCCTAGCTACTAGGGAGGCTAAGGCAGGAGAATCACTTCAACCTGGGAGGCAGAGGTTGCAGCGAGCCAAGATCATGTCACTGCACTCCAGCCTGGGTGACAGAACAAGACTGTCTCAATAATAATAATAATAATAATAATATGTAAAACTATTTTTACAAAACTTGTAGGTGATGTGGTACTGGAAGATATTCAACATATTGCAAGGACAAAATTTTTCTTTAAAAGCATCTCCACAAAGTAGAACAACAATAGACAAATATTGAAAGGGTTTTCATGTGCATAATAGTTTGGATTTTTTCTGCTTATTTAAAGAATGAACACTAAAGGGAAGCAAAGAGAAAACCTGTGAAGACACAGATAAAATTATGCTGGAAGAAATAATTTGTAATGGGCAAGCAAGCTCACAGATAAGATTGGTAGTCTGTAAAATAATTATTTCCATATTACTGGAGGTTTCCAAGCTCAGGAGAAAGAGCCAGCCACTTGGCAAGAATATTATGGTAGGGATTCATACATAGGTTGGTTTAAAATGACTTTCCAGGTGGGGCATGGTGGCTGGTGCCTGTAATCCCAACACTTTGGGAGGCCAAAGTGAGTGGATCACAAGGTCAGGAGATGAGACCATCCTGGCTAACACAGTGAAACTCTGTCTCTACTAAAAACAAACAAAAAATTAGCCGGGTGTGGTGGCACGTGCCTGTAGTCTCAGCTACTAGAGAGGCTGAAGCAGGAGAATCGCTTGAACCCAGGAGGCAGAGGTTGCAGTGAGCTGAGACTTTCCCCAAACTTATTCCATTCCTTAGATCCCAGGATTTATTATTTGGCTTAATTTCTAATAGATGACTTCGTGGGGCTCTCTAAGGAAAAAGCAACAGGTAACAGGATCAGGGGCTGGAACTGGCTCTGATGTTATACTGGGAGTATCTCTACAAAGAGGCAGTGTGATGCAGAGGTGTGTAAATGTGTCGGAATAAGCTTTGGCTTATTAACATAGCCCGCAAACAAGAGCAGTGGCTTTACCTCTCCTGGTGGCAGGCTTCCCGTCCATTTAGCTTCTCTGGGAAATGGTACTACACTTTGTGGTGGAGTTTCCCTGTGCCCTGAATCTCTTTCACCACAACGGTCTTTTATCTATGGAAAGAGCATAATCCAAGACATGACACACAAATAATTCCCCCTTGTTAATGTTGCCTCCTTTTAGCATCAGTAAAAATTTTGACCCAATACAGCTCTGTAACTTACATTTTAGTACACTACTGCTATGCTTTTGGTTATAGGATTGTTAAAAGGAAATCTGGCTGTAAGTCCCAGCTGTGTGACTTAACAGCTATTCTAAATCCTCTAATCATTCATTTCCTCCTCTGTTCAATAAAGATAAGGCCCCTTCCTGAGTGGAGCTGGAAGAATTAAATAAAAAATTGCATGTACTTTATCAAACCACAGAGAAGCATGCAAAAGTGTGGAGCAGTGTTGCTTGTAGCAGATCATAACACAGGACAGTTAAACTAAGCTCAAGAGCTAAGGAGGAAGGTTCCAGAGCAGTCTTTCCTTTCATTCTGATGGTGATTCTCTCCCCTCTGTGCCACCAGAACAATGTTCCATGTGCCTTTGAACATGAAAGATGACATTGCATAATACTAATATGTATTACATTTAAAGGTTTAAAATGTTTTTTATCATGTTTGCTACACACAATGTGGACACTTGATTGGACTGACAAAGTCTTTATGTCACATAGAAAATGACAATGGACAAGGACTTCTTACAATTGTGAGTATATGCAGCTATTGTGACAGGCAAAGAGAATTCATAGCTCTAAATATTGACATGGTTAATTTAATATATGTACCCTAATCAAACTGTCTTTGGAGATACATACATTTGTTTCTTGTAGGAACAATCCATATCCTAGGAATATAATCAGTTTTGCATTCATGCCTAAATTGAAGCTTCTATGACTTTCTCTTTTTTAATTTTTAAAAAATCCTTCAAGACTTCCAAAGCATCTATGACTTTACAAACACATGTATTGGCCGGGTGCAGCGGCTCACACCTGTAATCCCAAAACTTTAGGAAACTGAGGCAGGTGGATCACTTGAGGTCAGGTGTTCAAGGCCAGCCTGGTCAACATGGTGAAATCCTGTCTCTACTAAAAATACAAAAATTATCCAGGCATGGTGGCACGTGCCTGTAGTCCCAGCTACTCGGGAAGCTGAGGCAGGAGAGCTGCTTGAACCCAAGAGTCGGAGGTTGCAATGAGCCAAGATCATGCCACTGTACTCCAGCCTGGGTGACAGAGCAGGACTCTGTCTCAATAAACAAAGAAACAAAAAAACACATGTATCAAACCTGTATTTCATCTTGAAGGCTTTGCACTTCTTTTGCACACAAAAGTTAAAAGACTTGTCCATACTTTTAAAGATATTCATAATCTGTGACCTTAGGATGAAGTGTTATAAGGAAAGATAGAGATGGAAAATTTTGTCCAAAAATATCCTTTGTAGTATTACTCATGACTGCATATTAGAGATAAATTAACCTAATATTGACAGTCTGGCAAGTCAATTTGATAGATTATTGCAATGGAAGCTACTTAAAAATATTCTCAACAATATTGAATTACATTAGAAAAATGCTAGTACTTTAGTGTACAAAGCAGGACTTGTTGTGCACATGCACGTAAAGGAATAGAAACAGGTTCCCACAAGTGACAGTGGTGACTATTTCTGGGTTACAAAACAGGAAGGTCACTTTATTCTTTGTGATTTTCTGTATTTATTTACCAAGTGATTTTAAAAACAATTAGTAGATACTCATTTTATCTTCAGAAGTAGCTAAATGTATTTAAAAGAACAATAATTGGGCTCCATCAGCATGGTAAGTATAGTTTTCTGCTTTCCAAATATCTCTATCTCTGAGAATAATGCCTCTCCGTCTAAAATTTTGAATTTTGGGTGTTTGAGTTTGTTTTTTGTTTTTGATTTTTTGTACAATGGATCCAAATGGGGGCCCAATTGCTAGTAAGATCAGGTCAGCACCAGGAAAGATACTAGTTGTTGCTCTGCCTTAGAAGGCCTCCGAGACTTGCTAACATCTGGATATCAGGAGTTCAGCTCACTGCTCTACACCCAGATCCTAGCTGGAGCCATCTGTGGCCAAACTCAGAGTTTGGACCATTTTCTATTTGGTTTCATTTGTTACGCAAGATCCCATTGGCTTGCCTGAAGGCAAATTCTTTAACTGTACCTGTAGCTGCAAGTACTCACACTCCACCTAAAGCTTTCCCACCAACTTCTCCAATCTTACAGACACTGAAAGCCGAAAAACACTCAGAGATCCTCTGGCCCAGCTGTTTATTTTTTTTAAAAGAAAGGGTGCAGAAAATTTGGAAAGTTGCCTGAAACCATATGATTCACAGAGCCCACACCAGGTCCTCTAATGCCCAGACTGCTCCTTTTTCTACCTATTAATACAGCTTCCCCTTTATTTTCATAATATTTAAGCACAAGCTTAAAACACAATAGGGTAGCTCCCTTTTGAGGCATTATAAAGGAGAGTTTGTACATTTTAAATAAGTTTTAATCATTTATTCCAGAAGGAAATTTGATGATGAAAAATACTTTTAAGTTGAGCTTTGAATATTAAACATACACACACAAAAACTACTTTTTCTTGCTCTTTGTATTAGTGGAATTGTATCACAAACCCATCACTCCAGTTTTCCTTCCCATTCTTTGTTGCTGCCTAATGGGAAATGATGAAAAGCCCTACTTGGCTTTTATGGTTTCAAATGCTATATGATTTTGTCTCAATAGCTAATTTCAGTTCTTAATTTCCTATTTTCTTTTGCATGAGACAAATGCAGAAATCAGGCTAATATACCAAACCATTCTAATCTGAGGTCTTTCCTAGTAATGAGAAATATTTTTCCAAAATAAGCACAGAAGCTAATAAAATTATGCAGCCTAAACATTGGCATGGTTGATACGTACTTAGAGACAGTGGAATATTTATTAGACTAATTGTGAATAATTGAGAACATGTAACAATGTCAGAGCCTTTCCCTTTAAAAAAGCTACAGCTCTAGATAAAAAAATTGTGAATTCTAGTGCCAAAGTTGTAAGTAGATGCAGAAAAATGAATTGAAATTAAGTTAAAGGAAAATGTTATCTTTTTAAAAAATTACTTGACACAATACAGGTTGAATTTGAGATAAAATCAATAATGTAAATATTATGGTATATGCATAAGCAAAAAAAATAGCTTTTTTCCTTTTTTTGAGTCTAGAATTCATGATTTTATTATAATGGTTCTTAGATTGCTCTTAGATTCCCTAATATCCAGCCTGACTTGCATCATCTCTGTTAGCCGAGAGTCCTTGTTTACTCAGAGTACATGTTACGCCTAGATCAAAGAGCATGAACCTGCAGTTGATAGGTTGTTCAAGGACTAAATTCTGCTCTGCCATTCCTAAATTGAGTAAGCCAGGTGAAGTTTCGTAAACTCTAAGGGTTTTCACTGTTTCATAGAAAGAACTGGGATAATGCTACTTCCCTGGGCTGTTTGGAGTGAAAACAAAGGTATAAGACATGCCTCATAAATCCCAAAGTATTATGTGTTGTATAATATTCTAGATACTAGCAACAGTAATAATAATAAACAGTCACAATACTGGCAGTCTGACCCTCTCAGATCCATTAGTACAGGCCTACAGCAAATGAAATATATTTCTATAAGAGTGCCTTCAATTGGTTGTTAAATTGGTTTTAAATGCTTCTTTTTAAAAGTGGATTCTTCTGGCCTGGAATCCACAAGATGAGCAGGGAGGGGTTCATCAGAAAACACAGGAAGAAGCAATACCTTCAGTATTAGACAAACGGAGGTGCTTCTCATCATCTGCCTACCTTTCTGAGAAATTAGTGGTTCTGAAATGAAATTGGTTGTTCCAGTGTAACATTTATGTCATGCTATTAATTAATTTATGAATTTAATCAGGAAAAAAGAAAAAGTGTACCAAGAACCAATGGTGGGCAATTCTAGAAGGCAGAGTTATGCCAAAACTAAGGTGCAGTTGAAGCCCTGCCTGTAAGGGGGGCTCCCGGCTCATCAGGAGATACACAAGAGTGCCTGCACCTTCCCTCCTGAGCTGTGTCTTCCAGGCCAAACTGAGTCTAACAGTGCTTTTAATCAGGTTTTTCTCTGGATAGGTTGAGAGATGGCACCATCACTTAGTCTTTTTCCCTCTGGCTTACCATCATAGCACAAACAGATGATGACCACAATGTCTCTGGGTACCTTTTCTTAGCTGTACAATGAGGGCAACAAGCTAGGCAACCTCTATAAGCATACAATTTTCTTGCCTTCAGCCTTATTCATAACTTTGGTCATGTTATCCTTTTCTTCTTCTTATTATTATTATTAATTTTTTTGAGACAGAGTCTTATTCTGTTTCCCAAGCTGGAGTGCAGTGGCACGATCTTGACTACTGCAATCTCTGCCTCCTGGGTTCAAATGATTCTTCTGCCTCAGCCTCCTGAGTAGCTGGGACTGCACACGTGTGCCACTATACCAAGCTAATTTTTGTAGTTTTAGTGGAGACAGGTCTCTCCATGTTGCCCAGGCTGGTCTCAAACTCCTGACCTCAAGTGATCTGCCTGCCTTAGCCTCCCAAAGTGCTGTGATTACAGGCATGAGCCACTGCACCCGGTCATATTTTCCTTTTCCTAAGAGACTATTTCAAATTAGTATAGAAGTCTGAAAAGACTCATTAGCCACAGCCCTGAACAGAAATCTTGTCAGTTCTGATCAGTATTTCATTCCACAGCCAAACCCAGTCCAACTAACCACAGCATTACAGTTAATACTCACAGAGTCCGTGAAGAAATGACCATTGTCCATGGCGTCCATTGGTACCAGTGTTTTCTCAAGCCTTGCCCTAGGGTCTTGATTGAATCAGTTATCTTTTTTAGAAAGTCTCTTCATTTTGGAATTAGGAAATATTACCAGATGGTGATCCTTACGTTGCTGTTAATGTTTTTTCTCTGACTTCTCCTAAAACTGTTCCCTTCCCTTAATGTACCTCTGATAAGTTAGTAATTATCCTCCTACCCAAAAAGAAGAAAAGCACTTACCTTCAGCATTAAACCAGTATTTTAAGCCCTAGACTATAAGGCTAACTTGAAAAAGGAGGGAGCTTTCTGTTCCTTCTTCCCTTTCAAATACTTTTGCAGAGTTTCACAGGGATAAATAATAAGCCACGTGGCAGTCAGACAGCACCAGCTATGCCCCCACTTTCTCAGAAAGCCTAGGTTTGGTTTTGCCGCTTAATTTTTAACTTCATTTTCAAGTTCTCACTGATAGAGTATCTCAAAAGATGTCATCGTGTATATCAGGGGAAGGCTTCCCGGGTAGAACAGGGCTGTGCCCAGTATTCATGTATGGCATGGATAAGTCAGTAATGTAGGAGAAGGACCTTCCAGGAAAAGCAAAACCATTGATGCTTGGTGTGAGGAATTAGAAGTGTTCAACATGACTGGGGACTAAAGTACAAAGGTATAAAGGAAATTTGGTGAACTGACTAAAAAGATAAATTTTTTAAATCAGTTTCTTTTCCCAGTAGAATTAACTAGCCAAGAATAGAAATAGAAGTTGTTTTTTTTTTTTTTATTTTTTTAAAAATAATAGAATTTTATTAAAGGGCATAAAACAAGATCTGACTAAATTGAACTAAGTACTCTACTTTTCTCTACCATACCACATACTGTATTCTTGAATGGGAGAAGTGATACCATAAAAATATTGATTCTTCCTAAATTAATAAACACACTAAGTGAAAATCCAAGTGGAAGAAGGAAAAATGGAAGACAAACGAAATAGCCTAAATTTTCATCAATGGAAGACTGGGTACATTGTGATACATACATAGTCACTGCAGAAAAATAACAAGTAGTTAAAAGGAACAAGTCACATCTATCACATTTGACTTGGATGCTTTTATATAATGTAATACATTTTTAAATGAGTAAGGCAGATAGAAAGTACATATAAAGGGACTCCATGTTTTTCTGAATGTTTATCAAGATAATTCTATATATTTGCATCTTCATTTATATAGAAGTATATGAGCCAGACTAGTTGTTGTCTTGGGTTATCAGGTTTGGGTAAACAGTTTGGTGGTAAAAAATGTATAAGACTTGGCCGGGCACAGTGGCTCAACACCTGTAATCCCAGCACTTTGGGAGTCTGAGACAGGCAGATCACCTGAGGTCAGGAGTTCGAGATCAGCCTGGCCAACATGGTGAAACCTCATTTCTATAAAAAGATACAAAAATTAGCTGTGCATGGTGGCACACACCTGTAGTACCAGCTACTCTGGAGACTGAGGCAGGAGAACCACTTGAACCAGGGAGACAGAGGTTACAGTGAGCTGAGATCGCACCACTGAAACCTAGCGTGGGCAATGAGACCAAAACTCTGTCTCAAAAAAAATAAATAAATAAAATATAAGACTTAGCTAAAAGGTGACCACAAAAAAAGCAGCATTTATAGACTATGGATGTAAAATTATATGTATGTGTATGTACACATGTGTGAATATACATAGATACATTTTTGTCTGTATGTGCATATGTATATACATACATGTATGTGTGTGTATGGGTACAGGATTTTTAGCTGAATCTGAGTTTTTTCCTTGGGTTTCTTTTGTATTGTTTAAAGTTTCATACGAATAGCATTTATTTACTGGATAATCATAAAAAGCAAAAACCTATTTTTATTTTAGGAAAACACAAAGCAACCAAACCAAAAATCTCAACTTAGGACGTAAAGGGAAGTCTGGGGAAGAGGTCAGCAGGACCAGGTCATGAGGGCCTTTTACGTAATGTCCAGGAGCACGGACTTTATCTTGTGGTTCCTATTACTCCTCAAAACAAATGTGTGTGGACACAGAAATGGAAATGCACAGCAGTGCACTGGGGTCACAGGAAAAATACAAACATTTTTTTCTGAAGCGCCAACTTCACTCAACACTTCAGGAAACATTTTAAAAATGGTTTTAAACAAATTTGACTAAATTTGACAAATTTAGTCAAAGGCAAAATTTTCATTTTTAAAAGGAAATGAATTTTATAAGGAAAAAGCAGATGTGAAAAAGAATACATGAAGTAGTACATGAAAGAATTCACGTACATGGCATACACTGGAATCCATGTATCTGCCAGGCTTTCTTGTGTTGCACACCCAGACCAACCCTGTGGTTAAAGATAACCCAGTAGAAAAACTGAAGAGTGACTGGGGTTAATTAAAATGTTTTAAGCAGGAGTGGAGCATGATTTTCATTTTTAGACCATTTAGTTTGCTAGTTATGTCTGATAGTTAGAAGTCAGGACAGTCCTAACTGAAAAGTGAGTGCTACTAAGAAACTCAATGTGAGAATCATAGAATTAAGCCAGACTTTTGTTCCCAAGCAGGAGACAGAGGCAGATAAGCAGTAATGAGGACGGAGTAAGGGCTGAACCACAGAAGCTTCATGTCATAGGTCATTGTATTTCTCTGAGTGAGTATTATAGAACTTATTTACAACGTGGTCACAAAATACCACCGAAATGAAAAGAAGTCAACAAATTGAAATGGCTGAAGACTAAGATTCCCAAGACCTCAAGAAATAACCAAAAGTTGTCTGAGGTTCATGAAAAAGATAACCCAAGGGGGTTCTCCAAGTAAGTAAACACTCATTATTTCTGTAAGGCTTAGGTCATAAGACCTTAGCTGAGACCCCTGTCCCAGTGATCTGATCTGCACCACATTGGAAGGGCCATGACCGATTTCTACCTGGCTATTCAAGGCTAAACAGAGGTTGAAGAACCTCTGGCCTGCTTTCCCATAGCCTTCAGTATCTTAGGCCCCAGACGGCAGGAAGAGTCTAAGAAGAATCAACCAAAGGTAAAGTACACCAATAAAAGAGCAGCTCTTTGGTTAGAATTTTAAGATAAAGAGAGACATACTACTGTGGAGAAGTAACAGAAGGAACAACATTTTATCCTATCAATAGATGGAACAACAGGAAAACAGAGGACCACCTCAGCAATAACCTAGAATACCTGCAACTTCTACCTCCTGGGTTCAAGTGATTCTTCCATGACCTTCATGGAAGATAGGAATAAATCAGCTGTATTTGTCCTGCTCAAGACTTGCCATATGCCAGGCATGGTGGCTTATACCTAGAATCCCAGAACTTTTAGGCCAAGACAGGAGAATCGCTTAGCACAGGAGTTTAAAACCAGCTTGTCTCTACAAAGTTTTTTCTTTTTTTTTTTTTTTAAAGTAGGCAGGCGTGATGGTACACACCTGTGGTCCCAGCTATTCAGGATGCTGAGGTGGGAGAGTAGTTTGATTCTGAGAAGTCAAGGCTGCAGTGAGCTATGATTACTCCACTGCACTCCAACCTGGGTGATAGGAACTGCAGACAGTCTCTAGAATCGAATCAGCCTCTCTCAAGAAGAGTTCAAAACCAGCCTGGCCAAAGTCTGGTGCAAAGAACTGAATTTTTCAACAACCTGAGGGAGCTTGGAAGTGGATATTTCCACAATCAAGCCTTTGATGAGAATTCAGATTCAGCCAACACCTAGATTGCCACCACATGAGGCCTTGAAGCAGAGAACCCAGATAAGCCGTGTCAGAATTTCTATTCTACGGAGCTTAGGTAATGATAAATGTGCATTATTTTAAGCCACTAAGTTTTTGCTAATTTGTTTTGTAACAATATATAACTAGTACACATAAATAATAGAATTCTAAAATTAGCCATTGACTTCAAACAGTGAGCCTATGAGTCTGTCTCTGGTCCCTGTCCTTAGAGAGACTACTTTTATCTTTTTATCCATCTAACATCTCTAATTTATGTAACATTCCAAGTCCTTATTAATCCTGTGTTATTGTTGCTGGAAGTCCATCTATTGCCTCAAGAACAGAGCATGAAATCCCTCTTTGAAAAATTTCCATTCATCATAATCTCAAATTTCTCCAGTGTAATTTTCCCACCTAAATTCCACATGTGACTTGAATCCCAAGACTATTCTTCTGCCCCAGGTATCTATTTGATGCCTGGATGTATCTGAATTCTTTTTTTTTTTTTTTTTTTTAATTTGAAACAGAGTCTTGCTCTGTCATCCAGGCTGGAGTGCAATGGTGCGATCTTGGCTTACTGCAACCTTTACCTTTCTGGGTTCAAGTGATTCTCCTGCCTCAGCCTCCCCAGTAGCTGGGACTACAGGCGCCCACCGCCTCGCCTGGCTAATGTTTTCTTTTTGGCCAGGATGGTTTTGAACTCTTGACCTCAAGTGATCCACCCCCCTCAGATTCCCAAAGTGCTGGTGTGAGCCGCCTCGCCTATGCTTAGACCTCATCCTACCCAGCTCACGTGGATAGGATCTTTTGATCCTTTAGCTGAGGTTGTAGTTTTAACGTATTGCTTCCTGAACCTATTCCAATGCAAAAGCTCTAAAAGAACTCAGCCTCCAAAATCCCTTGATTTGCTGCACTGTACCAAATGTTCATCTTAATGAAATACAAGATTTGTTTCAGGATCTCAAGCCCAATATTTTCAACAGTCAGCTTCCCAGTTTCCAAGGTTCACACAGAAGATTGGCAGCGGGCACATTCCAAGGTCAGCGGTTTTTATCCAGGAAGGAACCTCAGAATCACTTGGGGAATTTTAGCAACATACACAACAGTATTCTCAGGAGTGAGGCTTAGGTATGTGGATAGCAATAAAACTTCACTTATCAAAAAGCTCCCCCAGCACGACAAATGGAGACTGCTTTTTAATTATAAAACTTGGCCTTACCTAGTGGTTCTCAATTTTGAATGAACATTGAAATCACAAGCGTAGGTGGTTTTTTTGTTTTGTTTTGTTGAGACGACGTCTCACTCTGTCACTCATGCTGGAGTGGAGTGGCACGATCTTGGCTCACTGCAGCCTCTGCCTCACAAGGGTAGTTTTAAACAGCACAGTGCCTAAACAAGACTCCAGAGATCATGACCCCTAATCCTAACCCTACCCTGTGGTACTTGCCTTATCCGTAAGGCAGGGCAATCGCTTGAGCCCGGGAAGTTGAGGCTGCAGTGAGCAATGATTGAGCCACAGCACCTCCAGCGTGGGCGACAGAGTAAGACGCTGTCTCTAAAAGCAAAACAAAACAAAACCTTCTTATTTTAAAATAACTTCAAACATTTAGAAAAATCAAAAAAACAGTACAAAGAACATTCATACACTTGCTATCTAGATTGTTAATATTATGCCACATTCGCTTTTTCTCTACCTACCTATCTATTTATATGTCTTTACATCTCTTTATATACTTGCTGAAACATTTCAAAGTTGCAGATATCATCTTCCTATATTACTCAATACTTTATCTTTAAATTCAAATTCAGATTTCACCAGCTGTCCCAATCATATCTCTCACAACACTTTTTCCCCCTCAATCCAGGATCACAAATTGGATTTGGTTGTTATCTCTCTAGTATCTATTAACCTGCAACAGTTTCCTAGCCTTTCTTAACCTTTCATGATGATGAGGTTTGGTCTTGAGTCTTGAGCTTGAACTCCTGACCTCAGGTGATCCACCTGCCTTGGCCTCCAAAGTGCTTGGATTACAGGTGTGAGCCACCACACCCGGCCTATGATGACGAGTTTTTAAAGGGTACGGGTTCAGGTTAGGTGCATTGCAGATTAGTTGAGTTGTAAAACTTCACAACAAAGTGCCAAAGATGTCTTGGTGGCAGAGCTCACAACAGGTTGGAGATGCATAGGAGCCGCAGAGAACGGTCTGGTTCAAAGGCCAGGGGTCGCATCATTACAGCACTGCTCCGTCAGCTGTAGGTCTGGGGACTTGGTAGCATGTCTGTGGCCCTAAAGTATGTGGAGGATGTTGAGAATTGCCTAGGGTGGCAGACTTAGAGGAAGGGAGGTTGGTATGAGGCCTATCTAAAATTGAGTTTGGCTATAGAGCTAGGGAAGAGTTTTAGGCCATGTCTGGGTAGAGTCAGATTCAGCCAGCAAGTAAGGAGTCTTTCAGAGGTGAGCTTATGCTGTCTGGGCCCCTTCAAGGAGAGCAGACTTGATGGGGAAGGGCTCTCCTAGAAGAATCTAGTTTAAAACGAGCAAACCAAGCAGGTTCATTCTCCACCTTACCCTAGCACTCCCTAGGCTCAATGGTGATTTTGGATTTGTCCCATCCCTGCAATTACTCCATAAAGGGAATGTGCAAGGGAGAAGGGAGGAAAGAGATGTGAGTTCTGCCAGATGTTTCATTGTTTCATTCCCAGATTTATTTGAAACCAACCCACCTCTGGTACTTCATGCTGTCCAAGCTCATGGTCCTGAAACTTCACATTTACATAATACGGAATATTTTTTTATTACCTTTGATATTTTTGCAAACAGCCTTTTCTGGAATTCCTGGATCCCCTCCTTCTCCTGGTGAACTTTTCCTTCTCCAATACATGGCTTAGTAGTTACCACCTGCAAAAGTGGTTGTTCCCGGAGTTGCTTGCTGCTTTATTCTTCTCTCAGCCTCAACACTTTTTCTTAACTTATTGTAGCATTTGGAATGTAATGTTTTGTTTTGTTTTTAAAACACATCTTGGCTTTCTGGAAACTTATATAGAAAATAATTTTTTTTCCGTCAATAGAAACATGGTGAGGGTCCAGCCTATGTCTGTCATAGAAAAGCCTAATATCCAACCTAACATCAATAAATGTTTATTGTGTCAAAAACGAATAATTTTAAAATGATGGAATGTTTAGGTAAAATTAGGATTATTAGCTTGAATCATTTAAAATCATCCATAAGAACCATATTAACTTTACGTGCTTTAACACTGGTGAAAGAAGTAATTATGCTGTCTTAAGGGCAAAACTATATGAACATAGCCACCAGAAATACAGGAGTGCCATCTATTGGTAAACTTGTTAGCAGACAGAGAAGGCACTGAGAAGCCATATAAAATATACTTGAAGTAATGTGCCCCTTATGTAGGTTATGTAAAACGTGGAAGAAAGATGGAAACAAAATTGAGAGACATGGTTATGGCATTTTCCAGAAAATTTGGAAAATATTTTCTTCTAATAATCCATGCAAAATATAATGACATTTTTTAATGCAGAAGAAAACAGTGTAACAGAAAGCATTATAATTATGGCAAATTGTTGAAAGCTTTCTCCACCCCTGCTCTTTCCACCCAGAGTAGGAATGAAATAAGGATGTCAATTATCACACTTTATGTTCAATATTGTATGGGAGATGCTAGCCAGTGTACTATGGAAAGAAAAATAAATATTAATGTTAGATGTTAATGGTGAAAATATTTCAATTGAAAGGCAAAGATTGTTAGAATCAATTTAAAAGTACAAGAACTGAACATATGTTAGCTAGAAGCAACACATCTTAAATGTAAAAACACTGATAACTTGAAAATAAACATATTAATATATACTATGCAAACAGAAAGTATAAAAAGACTGGAATGGCTATAATAATAACAGCTAAATTAGAGTTTAAGACAGTGTTACCAGAGACAGAGTGATATTTTGTATTGTTAAAACGGTCAGTTCCCAGCCTAGCCAACATGGTGAAACCCTGTCTCTACTAAAAAAACAAAAATTAGCCAGGCATGGTGGCACATGCCTATAATCCCAGCTACTCCGGAGGCTGAGGCAAGAGAATCACTTGAACCTGAGGCAAGAGAATCACTTGAACCTACGAGGCGGAAGTTGCAGTGAGCCAAGATTGCACCACTGAAATCCAGCCTAGGCAACAGAGTGAGACTTTGTCTCAAAAAATAAGAACAACAACAACAACAACAACAACAAAGGGTTAACTCATCAGGAAAACAGCCAATCACAAATGTATGATTCTAACAACAGAGTTTCAAAATACATAACAAAATATCATAACAGTTTTAAAATACATAAAGTGAAAATGGAAAAAAAATTTGGAAAGTTTAACACTTTTTTTGATAATGATGTAATAACTAGACAAAATATCAGTAAAGATACAGGAGATTTGAACAATCTTATCTATTATCTTGAGCTAATTGATTTATAGAACATTATAGCCAATATCTGCACGCACATTTTGCTCAAGTACACATGATAAATTCATCATGATAGATCATATTCTCTTTTTTCTTTCTTTCTTTTTTTTTTTTTTTAAGAGGTCAAAGTACCTGTATTTTTAATAATGTCTTGACCTGGTAAAAGAATTTTATGTTACTATCCAAGGGTGGTAGGGTGAGGGGCAGTGGAACAATCCAACAGGCAAAAAGGGAAATGAGAAACACATGGTGGGAAGAGGGAAGGAAGGGTTTCAGCTGGAAGGGATCTGGAGGGTGGGTGAGGGCACTGCCCAACTAAAATGCAATTGGTTTGTTACTGAGTACTATTCGTGGGAAGACAGCATCCTGACTCCTCCTCGACAGAATATTGGGAGTAAAAAGCCAGGTGGAAATATTATTGGGGGTTGGAAGACAGAGACAGGAAGAATAAAAGTCAGAAACAGATACTGAGAGTCACTGGCAGGCTGAGTGCAGATACCAACTCTCCAGCAGTGGTGGAATAAAAGAGCTGGGGGCTGATGGGGATTAACACAAAAGCTATTAACAGTTAAGTGATATCTCTGGAAAATTCAAGAGACAGGAGGCAACTTTTCTATAGTTTTCACTTGCCTAACGCACTTCCACATACACAAACATGTATATGCATGTGTGTGCGTGCACACACACATACACACCAGTTTGCTTTCCCTGGAGGCCTGACACTATAAATAAGAGAAATAGTTCCCAAAAGGAAAGCCCAACATGAGCAGCAGCATCTGGACCTCACACTTGCAGACACCTCCACCGCAACTGACAGCCAGGAGTCAAGAGGACCAGCTTTTGCAATAATGCCAAAAAGGGCTGAGTCAGAGAGGGACAGGCCTTCCCCGAGTCCTCTGCTTCTCATCTCACTGTTCTCCATCAACTCACCTTAGGTACCAAGATGCTACAGCATAAGGAGGGAGGACGAGCCCAAGACATTTGTCTGGGTAGATGACAACTAAGACAACCATCATCTCCTGAAAGGTATGTGACAGGGATCGTGGAAAGGGAGGGTATATTAGGTAATGGAGTAGGAAGGTGTGTGTGCATGTCTGTATGGGTGTATACATGCATACATATATGTGCATGTGAAAACTCCCATTATAAAAACACCTGAAGGAGCTTGGGAATTGACTGAAGGCCTAAGGCGTTTCTTGTCATGATCAAGATTCAAGATGGGATGTACACAGATGTGAAACCCTAAGTCACCACCAGGGCAACTGTGGGAGGATGCAATGCCCCGCAGAGGAAAGAGACAGTAACTTCATGTGAAGAAGAGAAGTTGTTCCCCTCCACCACCCCAGTTCCTAAAAAACACCTGGCACTTTCCTTCCAGTTCCCTCAGCTTTTAACCAACTAATCATCAAAAGGAAGAAAACATAAAGCCCGAGACACAGGAAGGAACAGGAGAGTGGAAACACAAGTATTTTTGTGCCAACATCCTGCACACACAAACCTGGAGTTCTCCAGAAATTAGGACAGGTTGGGTGTGGGGTATCAGGGAAGAAAATAGAAGAGTTCCTGAGGCCAGAAAAAAGAGATAAGCACATCACAGAACTAGATGAGAATTTCATTAGACTCCAACTAAAAACAGAGAGGTGTGATTACTATTTCCAGCCAGTTTCCCCATCACGATGGTCATGTTACAAACCAAGGCAATGTTGGTCTTGAGCCAGATTCACAGTCCCCTGGCCTCAGGGACCGTTGATCTTCTCAATATTTTTCAGGATCGTGTCATGTACAGTGACATATTGATTCCTCAGCTCTGATATGATGAGCCAAAGGCCGATATATTCTTTCTCATCAATCTCTGTCATGGTGTGGTGATAGTCCTGCACGTGAGGATATTTAGCTATTTTAGAAACCAATTTGGCTCTGTAATATAATATCTAGAAATCCGGTCCAGATAAGATGCAGCTTCGCTCTCAACAGTTCTTAGTTCTGTAACTGTTTCCTCTTGAATCGATACCCCAAAGTTGTTTCCATCTTCTATCCTGGGAATCAGGAGCTGTACCCACATTTTGACAGTGTTACATTTCTCAATCAACAGTGGATCTCAGGTTTCACTTTCTCAATAATGTGCACCAGCTGCTGGTTGCTTTTCAGCATTCCATTGGGCATGACAAACGCCTTGGTTCCTTGGAAAGCTTCTTCACACTCATCCAACCTTCACTTTTTATAAGTGGGACCATCCAGTCCATCATCGCTCTTGGTGAGAAGAATGGGGTCAGGGACTGGGAGATTCATGTCAGAGTGGATCTGAGTTAGGTTATGGATGTTTAAGATTGGTTCCTTCAGAAAACTATTAAGTTCTAAAAACTTCTTTGTGAAAAACTTTGCCACCAAGTCTGCCTCTCTTGTGATCCACTCCCTGAAAGAATCAACCTTGAGCTTCACTTCCTGATCCACCTTCAGCAATGAGGCCATGGCCGGGCCAGGCCGTGTCCAATTTTGTGGACACCAGAGGCGCTGCGGACTCTGGGGAGGTGGTGAGGGGGACCTGAGGAATCTCAGCTGACCCGGGAGCTGGCTGCCCTTGCAGGCTCACTCACTGCTAGCTCGTTCCCTCCCCCTCGTGCTGTCCGCCCGCCTGCTGGCAGCCTGCTGCCTGGCCACTCTCGCTCGCCCTCCGAGCTTTCACCACTCATGCTGGAAATTGCCCTTTTTTCTTTTATTTTTAGTTGACATGTAATAATTGTACATATTTATGGGATAAAGAGTGATATTTTGATATATGTACACAATGTATAATAATCAAATCCGAGTAATTAGCATATCCATCACCTTAAACATTTATCATTTCTTTTGTTGTGACCATTTAAAATTTTCTTCTAGCTCTTTGAAAATATACAATAAATTAGAATTAACCGTATGCACTCTACAATGGTGCACATCATCAGAACTCATTTCTCCAACCTAGCTGTAATTTTAACCAACCTCTCCCTATCCTCCCCTCCCTTATTACCTAATGGCCATTATTTCTGGCTTAAAGGTATCTCCCAGGTGCTCAGAGAGAGGAAACCTCAAATACAGTTTGTGGAGGGGAAGGGAAGAGAATCAACAAATGGCAAAGGTCACAAGGATATCAACCAGAAAGTACTCATTCCCTAAGCCAGGACTGAACCTGGGCTGCTATTGTAAAATGGCAAATTCTTAGCTGCTGAGTTATAGCACTGGGCAGTTTCCATTGCTCTTTCCGGAAAGAGTCCAGAGCAGTCAATTCTGAGCTTGGAACGGCTTGAGATAATTTTTAGAGGTAACTATGACATAAACCCCAAAATTCCAGTTCCTTGGATGGCAGAGACCAAGAGAAGGTACTGCCATGTAGTTACAAGGTCAGGCTCCAAAGGACATAAAACAGGATGAGAAGGAAACTTCATCCAGTTTTTAAATTTTTCAGGGGCCTGTAGCAAACTTTGCAGCTGACTAGTTTACTGGGCTGGCTTGAACAGCAGGCTTATGCAGTCCTAAGCCTGTTTTCTATCCTAAGGTATTCCTCTTTATGATAGAATAATACAGAAAGACAACTTGATAGCACAAAGTATACCAGATTCACTATAGTTTAACACTAGCCCCACAAATCCTTCTTCCCATTAATCAAAACTTTACACAGGTGATAAACAGTGATTTTAACCATTCGTTCCGTTTTCACAAAGATAGGCCAGAGGCCTGACTGGTAAGAAAGCTTTACCCGTTTGCTGGCATTCCGGGTTTCTGGGTTCTCTTTCCCTGAGCAGCCCTAAGCCCTGCTCGCTGCAGAGCTCCGGGGGCCAAGCTACAACATAAAGGAAAACCATCTTTTTCTGTTTCATGGAAGCACAGGCAAATAAATGCCTCTTATTTTTGTAAGATGCTGCCCAATGGCTGCATGAGGTAACCAAATTAATATTTTCCATTTTGGCCAGAGCAGTACACATGTGACAAAACAGACATTAGCCACTCCACTTAGCACCCAATATCGACCTGCCAAGGCTCACACTTGCCCCCAGATGGGCCCTTTCATCTTTAATCCAACCTCTGACCAGGACTTTCAACATGTGGTCTCTGAGCAAGATGGCTGTCCCAAGTAACAGAAAAGATAGAAAGAGAAAGGAAAGGGAGAAAAGCATTGTCTGTGGTGAGGTCAGGAAGGTGAAGAGTTCATGGAGGTCAGAGAAAGACCCACCCATTGCAGCAGCACTGAATCAAAAGTTCAGGGGGCCACTTGTCATAGTACAGGGATCTTCTCCAGGAGTCCCATCAGCTCTCAAAGAACTTCCCCCTTTGGGGAGAAGAAGAATTCCCCATGCCCCATAATCCTGTACATGCCTAATCCTGTCACCCATAGCTGTCAGCAAAGAGCACAGGGCAGATTAATCTAAAGAGAATAGCAGTTAACATACCATAATGCTAAATCCATTTTTAACCAGGAGAGACTTTGCTGAGAGGGGCCTCTAATCCCTTAAATCTTAAGAAGGACTCTAGCTTCCTAAATTGGGTCTTAAGCCCAAGTTTGGTCAAGTGTCCTTGCCTTTTATTAAGAGGGGCCTGAAACCCTCTCTGTCTTAGGAGAGACCCTGTCTCCCTTAAGCTGCACCTCTAACCCAATCCCATCCTTTACCCGGCTACCCACAACTTACCCAAAGTCAGCCAATCGGTGCTGCAGTCTATTTCCTTTGGCTTCAGGGTCTGCTCAGTCTTGTCGCTTTGTGGTCACCAGAAAGATGCTAGCAGAAAGAAGTCTTGACCCAGACCCCAAGACAGGCTTCTTGGATCTCACATGAGAATTTGGGGCAAGTCCATACAGTAAAGTGAAAGTAGATTTATTAAGAAAGTCAGGAAATAAAAGAATGGCACTCTACAAGCAGAGCAGCAGCGAGGTCGGCTTGAATAAGGATACTTATAGTTATTTCTGGATTATCTGCTAAACAAGGGATGGATTATTCATGAGCTTTCCAAAAAAGGGATGGACAATTTGCAGAACTGAGGGCTCTTCCCCTTTTTAGACTATATAAGGTAAATTCTGGATATTGCCATGGTATTTGTAACTGTCACGACGCTGATAGGAGTGTCTTTTAGCATGTTAATACATTATAATTAACGTATAATGAGCAGTGAGGATGACCAGAGGTCACTTTCGTGGCCATGTTGGTTTTGTTGGGTTTTGGCTGACTTCTTTACCACAACCTGTTTTATCAGCAAGGTCTTTGTGATGTGTACCTTGGGAGGACCTCCTATCTCATCCGATGACTAAGTATGCCTACAGGGAATGCAGCGTAGCAGGTCTCAACCTTATTTTACCGAGCCCCTATTCAAGATAGAGTCGCCCTGGTTCAAATGACTGACAATCCTGTCTCCTTGCAACCTTGAATTCCTGGGCGGAAGCCATCTTCCCACCTCAGCCTTCTGAGTAGCAGGGACTACAGGCACACACCACCATGCCTGGCTAATTTTTTTGTATTATTATTATTATTTTATGAGATGGGGGTCTCACTGTGTTGCCCTAGCTGGTCTTGAGCTCCTAGGCTCAAGCAATCCTCCTGTGTCTTCCTCCCAAAGTGTTGGGCATGTCAGAGGCATTTGAACCAGAAAGACTCCATCTTGAATAGGAGCTGGGTGAAATAAGACTCAGTCCTGCTGTGCTGTATTCCCAGCAAGGTAGGTACTGTAAGTCATAGGATGAGACAGGCAGTCAGCACGAGATACAGGCCATAAAGACTTTGCTGATAAAACAGGTTGCAGTAAAGAAGCCGGGTGGGCCAAGCACAGTGGCTCATGCCTATAATCCCAGCACTCTGGGAGGCTGAGGTGGCTGGAGCCATGGTGAGACCCCATCTCCCTTGAGCCCAGAGTTGGAGATCAGCCTAGGCAACATGGTGAAACTTGGTATCTACTAAAAATACAAAAAATTAGCTGGGTGTGGTGGCACACACCTGTAATCCCAACTACTGGGAGGCTAAGGCATGAGAATCACTTGAACTTGGAAGGCGGAGATTGCAGCGATCGGAGATCGAGCCACTGCACTCCAGCCTGGGCAACAGAGTGAGACTCAGTCTCAAAAAATAAATAATAATGATCAAAAAAAGCAGCTGGCTAAAACCCACCAAAACCAAGATGGTGCTGAGAGTGACGTCTGGTCATCGTCCCTGTTGCGCTCACACCAGCGCCATGACAGTTTACGAATGTCATGGTAATGCCAGGAAGTTACTCCATATGGTCTAAAAAAATGGTGTCATGAATAATTAAGAAATAACCATAAAAACGGGCAATGGGCAGCCCTCAAGGCTGCTCTTCCTATGGAGTAGCCATTATTTGATTCCTTTACTTTCTTAATAAACTTGCTTTCATGTTACAGACTCGCCTGAATTCTTTCTTGTGTGAGATCCAAGAATCTTCTCTTGGCGTCTGGTTCTGGACCCCTTTCCGGTAACAGGATTACAGGTGTGAGCCCCCACACCCAGCTTTAGTAAATTTTTATTTCAGTTATTATATATTTCTTCTTTATTTTCTGTTTTTCAGTTATTAAATTTTAAACCCCAGAATTTTTATTTAGAGGACTGTATTAACAAATGGGGAGTACTGGCATAAGCCTGGCACAAAGCAAATGTTGACAGAGGTCTGGCACAAAACAAAGGTTCAATGCATTTTAGCTACCTTTAGGTGTATCATTACTAACTGCCTCTGGGGCTATCCAGGGAAAACTGTCCTCTCAAAACCCCCACTCACTTCCAGCCAGAGCAGGCTCAAGTGAAGAAGCCACCTGTGTCACGAGAGATGTATAGAGCAAGAAGACTTTATCTTTGTTGACAGAAAGAGTCGAACTCTGTAAAACATTTGAGGAGATTTATTCTGAGCTAAATATGAGTGGCCATGGCTCATGACACAGCCCTCAGGAGGTCCTGAGGACAAGTGCTCAAGGCGATTGGGATGCAGATTGGTTTTATACATTTTAGGGAGGCATGGGACGTCAATGAAATAGGTTTAAGAAATTCATCGGTTTGGTCCAGAAAGGCGAGACTACTTGAAAGTGTTGACAGTTGGTTGAGTTTGTATAAAGACTTGGGATTAATAGAAAGGAACACTAGATTGTGATAAGAGGTTGTGAAGACCAAAGCTGTACTGTGGGATGAAGTTTTAGCCAGCAGTCTTCAGAGAGAATAGGTTGTAAAATGTTTCTTCTCAGACTTAAAATCTGTGTTGATGTTAATGCTGGAGAGGAATAATGAGGCATGTTGGACCCTCACTTCCCTTAATGGCCTGAACCAGTCTTTCAGGTTACATTTTAAGAGGCCTCGCTTAGGAGGAAGTCTATTCAGCTGGCTGGGAGGGCTTAGAATTTTATTTTTGGTTTACACTTTGCCTATGGAAGTTTTGCTGAAAAGTGAACACACAAAAAGGCAGATTCATAAGAGAAAAGGCTTTACAATTTAATCACTCTGGTTCTCCCCATGCAAAGTATCAATATCCCAGTGGG